TAGCAAATTCTCCTTGATCAACATCAGCAGTTTCTTGGCTACCATCATGATACTCCGCCGTCGTTTCCATTATCTTTTGTACAAGCCCTCCTCTTTCGTCTTCAGGCTGGAGAGGAAGCTATCAGTTCATCGAACCTTTGAAAACTTTTTTAGAACTCACCACTTCATTTTCCGTGACCTTGAACGTGTCGGGCAAAACGTCTTCAGTTTCTTCTTCTTCTACAAGAAATGTTTCTTCAGGTGCAGCTGGTGCCGCTTCGCTGATGACTTCTGCAGCTGGTTGGACGGGCTGTAGCATAAAAAGTGATTTCTCCAGCGAAATTCTGGATATTTCTTATACGCAGAAAAAACTCTTACAGCTATGTTCGTTTCTTCAACGGTTGCTATCTGCTTCCTTTTCAATTTCGGAGGTGCTGGCCGGGCGGCGGCGGTTCCAGGACGGCCCATCGATGTTTGAGGTCTAGCTAGAGCTGAGGTCATCGGCCTGTTTGAAGAGGGATTTGAGTTGTAGAAAAAATATGTAAATGCCGTTAAAAAGTTCAAATTTGTACTTACCTATCAAGCACAGGTGGACGAGGACTTTCAGTCATATCACTAACACCACTATCGTCTGTTTTTGCTGGTGAAAAAGCATTGCTTGGAGCTGAAAATTCACCATGTTCAGCTCCATCTGGAGCATTGTCATCTGAACGTCACTTTCAGTCACAGAATAATCAGTCTTTCACACAATGAGAAAAATGTCAACAGCTCTCAAAGTGATAAATAATGACAAAAAGTAGAAATCAACTCACATTTTGGACTTTCAACATGAGAAGAAGTTGGTTCATCGAAACCCTGGTCCGTTTGGGCTTCGACAACATTACTGTTGATATCGCGATCAATGTGCTCCATATGTTCTTTCTCCACCTCTTCGATATGTCTTTCCTCCTTCTCCTTCTTCTCCTTTTTCTTCTTCTTTTCGTCGTCAGTTCGTTTCTTACTGCTTTTATGATGTCCTTCTTTTTCTTTCGAGCTTTTCTTCTCTTTCTTTTCTTCCTTCTTCTCGTCTTTTTCCTTTTCTTCTCGATGCTGTAAATGTTGGAACTTTCAAAATGGGAACAAAGTGTGAGCAAAAAATTGATTCAAAGTTCTGTATCAATAGCTTTCAGGAATTATGAGTAGGAGCAAAAACTTAGTTTTTACGAGATTTATGAGCTAACACATCCGTCTGAGAAGGATTTGAGCGGCTTTGATCGCAATATACTAGGTCGTTTCGAAAATTTTTCTCCGCTTTCTCAAGCTATCGTAAAAACATACTGAATGAAGATGATAAAAGATTTTGAAGACTATTCTATGCAGTTTTTTTACCTGTTTATAGCAGTAAATTTTGCAGATAATTGCCGAAGTACAAACAAATGGTCTTCACCATGCCGGTGTTTGACACTTTTTCGAAATTCTCGCGATCTTGTGGGAAACTTTAATTATTGGCTTCTCCAACTCTTTTTTTCAGTATAGTTTGAGATTTGCCAAAAGTACTCATTTTTGCACGTGTCATATTGGTGCTTCCAAAATCAGTTATGGTTATTCCATCTCGGGAAATTCAACAGAACGGGAGGAAAAAAACATGTATAACGAAAAGAGAAAAAGCTGCATCAAATAGCACCCGAGCTGCTCTCAGTTGATGTTCTGAAGGTTTGGCTCAGTCAGTGGAATTTGTTAACGTCAGAAAAATGAACTGAGAATTGAGAAAAGTCAGCTGGAAATACCAAAATAATTTATATTGTACTTTGTTTATCCTATCCACTTGTCATCAAATCCCTTTCAGGAGCTCACAATGAAAATTTATAATTGCCAAACTTGGTTGTGGTAAATAGGTTTGAAATTTTGGCAGTTATCTGTAACCGCTCCGGAAAACAGCCCAAAAGCATAAGCACTGAAAAGAGGAAGGAAAAAGGCGTAGAACGTTTTTGAAATCATTGTTCGTCTACTTCCACGTGTTTTTACGATAAGTTGAAAAAGAGGAAAGAAATTTCAAAACGATCTAAATGAGACTCACCTTGCTACTAGATCTAGTTTTAGATTTCTCAGATTTCTCTTCCTTTGGCTCCTTGCTCTTGGAACGGTGCTTGGTTTTTGTCGACTTTTCCTTTTCATCATCTTCGTGGTGAGACTTTTTACTGGACTTTTTGCTCTTCTTATACTCGCGAGCTCGCTCAGCAAGTTTTATCAACATCTAAACAAAAATTCAAGAAGAAAGTTCAGATACTAATGGTATTGTGTTTAATTGCAAATGCTATACCAGATTTGTTAGTTCCGGCTCTTTTCCTGCTACGATTTTGGCGGATTTCACATCGTTCAGTGAGCCGTCGTTCAGAGCCTGGATCAGCGAGTCCAGAAAGGCCATTTTTGCAGCCTTATCATTCAATTTCGCCGGGCTGAGATCCTCAGCAGGGAACTGATCCTTCAAAAAAACCATTCTTTAAAGCATAATGAAAGGTTTATGCTTCTATATACGGTTCATTGAACAGCTAAAATATATTTTATATGGCTGTTAAGAAAGTTCCCGGTCGCCAATGGAAATTTATTTTCTGACGCATTTTTCAGTAGGTCGGAGTTTAACGACAAGTTTTTCATACCGTTCAATAGAAAGAAACCTAAAGTTTTCAAATTCTCTTTTGATTTTTATCGATGTCAAACCGTGTTCAGTCTGCATTTCAAAACAGAAAATTTTCTAATCATAAAAATTTCACAGTTTTTCTTCCTGCTGCCATTTTTCGGTGAAGCTTTCGTCCACAATCGTAATTGTCGAGGAACTTTCTTTACAACCTAATAGTTTGCTTGGATCCAGAACTCACCTTCAAATAACTTGTTTTGGATATAGTGGAGGTAACGACGTCAAGGATGAACTTGAATGGTGGCCGAGCAAGTAGCTGATCAGTGAGTGGAGGCTTGTCGATGAGTCCGGAAAAGGCAGCTCGTGTTTCTTCAGCGTTCACCATATGATAAGTTTTCTACAGCCTGAAATG